CCACACCCACTCTCTCTCTCTCTCTCTCTCTCTCTCTCTCTCTCTCTCTCTCTCTCTCTCTCTCACACACACACACTCTCTCGCCCCACTCGCCCCCCAGAGAGCTGGCTGTTACCTGTCACTGTTTCTGCCTGCAGGCGTCTGAACCCGGCTGTCACCGTGCCCGCTGGAAGAGTCACCTTTCTGGGATATGAATCCTAATGAGGTGGGGGGGAAGCCAAGACAGATGGGGAGGAGTGGAGGTCTGACAGGCCAGCGCTCCGCTGAGCTGCCAGATTATTTTTGGTCATTTATAACTGTAGTTACTTAAAAATACTGTGCTGTGAATCCGGCACAGGCACAAGAGAGCCTCGAGCGCGGTCAAACACCTCATGACACACGCTCGTCTGACAAGCACTGTCATCTTATGAATCTTTTTATGTCACGCTAATTGTATAATTCAGTGAAAAAGTTCATTTTATCCAGTTTATCCAGTATTTTTTCATCTCACTTGATTATTTTCTTGTTGTAAAGTGAACTAAAAAAGCTTCACGTTATGAACAAAAAAACTCAAAACCGTCAAATTCATATTGTATAGAACAGGGAGTTTTTGACTCTGAATTCTGATTGGATGAGACATTTGAAGGTGCTAGAATAGCCGATATACAAACACCTGTGACGGCATATATATATATATATATATATGTTTTGCCTTGTTTTGACTGTTTTTTGCATTATTACATGGTTCTTTGTTTCATTATTTTGTGCATTATTATATCATATTTCAAGATTTTTTTTAAATAAGTAAAATAATACAATTAATAAAATTAAATTAAATATATAAATAATTAAATATTTGAATAAAATTAAATAATTAACAAAATTATATATGTGTGTGTTTTTATAATATATATAATTTAAATATATGATTTAATATTATTCTTTATAATTATATATTTACATTATGTATGCATGTACATACATACATACATATATTTTAAAATGTGAGTGTTTACATCAAATCTCTAAACACATTTCTGCTGTTCCATCATATTGTGTGTGTGTGTGTGTGTGTGTGTGTGTGTGTGTGTGTGTGTGTGTGTGTGTGTGTGTG